GAAACAATCATTCTTTTTATCAACAATGACATTTCTTGGTCGATTCAATTGATTATTTTGATTTCCAGGACCATTTCCACCAGCAACGACCTGACCATTTTTCGCTCCTTTTTTCCATTCAACAATACGATGATTTGCATACTCAGCCACATAGATAGTTTGATCATCATCATCGACATAAACACCATATGGATTAGAGAGTTGATTTAATCCATTACCAACTCCAATTCCTCCAGCAACAATAATACCATTTTGTTGCCATTTTGCATCCGAAGGAACATTTGAAATAGATAATGATGCTACAAAAGAAAAGAAAAATTCCGAATATAATCTTAAGAAAACAAATATTTTTACCTGAAGAAATAACGACAGATATTTTAGGAATAAATAATGAAGAATCTTCTTGAATTGAGATATTTGACAATCTATCAAACTCAACTTCTAGTTCTTTTATTTTTTGTTTAAACTGATTCACAATGTTTTCATGAACATTGTTTTCTTCTCGAATTTGTCTCAATTGTTTAGTGAATTTGGTTAACTTAACTTCCGTTTGATTAATATATTCAGTAGTGTGTTGAATTAACAATTGTCTAGCTTCTTCTGCTGTTTGCTGAATTGTTTTAATTGACTGTTGTTCCCATTTATTAACTAATTGCATTAATGAATGCTTTTGTGGATTCATTTTTTCTTGATTAAATGCCTCTTTAAAAAGATTTTGTCTATCTTCTACTTCATCTAATTGTTTTCTAAGTGTTTGTTGATGTTCTGCCAAATGATTAGCACAAAAATGTTGTGAACAATCTTCACATTTATATGAAGTTTTTTCTTTTCCACATGTAATACAATGAGCTTTATCAGTTGTTGTTGCCATGTGCTGCTGAATACTTTGATGCTGTTTGGATGTTATATTTGAAAATGTAAAAGAAAAATGGAAAGAAGAGAATGTAATAATGTTTTACTTCAGTGTGTAAACATCCATCACAATAAAATGCGTCAATGTTAGAAAACGTCAGAAAAAAGTAAAAGAACAAAAAAAAATTTTTTTCTGCTTAACAAAAATACTTGAGTCACAAAATATACATGATACATAATAGTATTAACCATAAAGGACATCTGTTCAATATTTCTTTATAAAGAAATTAATGATATGAATAAAGTTGCAATAAAAGAGAAATTAAAACATCTTGAGAATATGGATAGGAACAATGAAGAAATATGATACCTTTAACTACACACCCACCTTCAAAATTGCACTTTTAAAAGACGAATCAGTATTAGTTTTCACCTAGAAATCAGATTAAATTGGATTTTTATTTATCGAGAGAAATTTGTCGAACGATATTCTCAGGATTTAACTGTGCAAAATAGATTTCTGTTGATTCCAATGGGCTTTGATCTATTGAAATAAAGAAAACTTCCACATCGATATTCTTACAAGAGATTCGAACTTAGAGTTACGCTTTATAGTATTTCTTGTTCATACGAACCGAGAAGAAAGGAAGAATAGGGTAAATTATAACCCGATTAAGGAATAATACGTAGGATAGAAATGATTAGTAAGAACGGGTGAAATAGTAGCTATAAAACACACTTATACTGGAGTGTCATAATTCTCTGGAGATTTTCAAGAGACAAATTTCTTCTCTTTCGATATTTAAACTAAATGGTGAATATTTAATTTGTATACATGATATTGGATGGACAGTATATACTCGTTGAAGTGTATCACTTGCACATTCTGATAAATAGATATATTTTATTTTCTCAACATCGATAAAGCCAAGACCAAGACGTTTGTTCTCCCCTGTGTTGTATGTAATTTGGATTTATTATTGACTGTGAATTCTTTTCGCGTTTTTGACGGCATTTATTGAGTATTTTTTTAGATTAGATTAAATATAGCTACTGATGTGCGTGAGATTCTGTAGATATCAAATAACATGAAGTGTTTTATACAAATATTGTCTTTTGATTTAGATATCCTCTGAAGGTAAAAAGCGAGAGAATAATTTGCTCGATAATCGACAATGAAAATACTGTTATCAAAATATTAATATTAAAAGAAAAGAAATTAAAACAAAGAACACGCATTAGAAAAGTATATTTATTCGAATCAAATTCTCATACAGAAGGTAATACTGGAAACCATTTTACAGCATTACGATCTTTGAGTAATGCTTCTTTCTACGTTATTTGAGTGAATCATAGTATTTACTCTTTGTGCGTCGATGTTATGTCATTTGATATCTGCAAAAAAAAAGAAATGGAAGGCGTATGTACGTATGTGATATAAATACGCAATATTTCTGTTATATTTTCACTCATAAAAATGCACTCACTACTGTATTTCTTCACTCTCTTTTTCATCTATGCAGATGGAAAACCACTCTGTCTGTTCAATTGTACAGCTTTTGGATATACCGGTATGCCTCTTAATATTCCTATATCCTGTCAACAACGTCAGAAAGCGGATAATTGTGAAGTTTACGTCAGATTCTATTATCACGATCGAACATATGCTGTAGAATTTGGAACAACATTCATAAGTCGCTATTATCGATCAGTTTATATTCTACCGAAAAATTATTTATCTTACACAGCCATGTATTCTTGTTCTCATAATGATAATTGTGCAATCGACTTTGCCAACAAGAAAGTGCTTGATCTCTCCAATCGAACATTCAATGTCAATAGTGTGACCAATCAACTAAGTAATGTTCTTCTTGAACATCGACAACCTTCTGATCCAGCACTTCGCTGTTACGATAATGAAGAATGTGCTTCCGGCATGTGTCAAGTCGAATACGATACTAGTAATAACAAAGTGAATAAAAGAGGCTGTGAACCAGTTGGTATTGCACGAGTACACGTGTTCGATGGTGGTAATCTTCCTTCGTTGGATATTGAATGTAATCGAACGATATGTAATTCTCCTGAAGCTTACAACGAAGTAAAACAAATTCTTTTTCAACACAATCTTACAGATATCAACGGTCGTATTAATGATGGACAAAAATTATGTGCATCAGCAGTTCTTCTAATAATTTTGTTTCATTTATTTGTTTTTTATATAACAAATTTTTCTTCTTATAAAAACTAATGCAATTAAATCTCTTCTTCGCATCTATTTTCCAATGTATACATCATGTTGTTCAAATTATTAAACCTTTTGATTCACCTGCTTTTTCAGCGAAAATCAAAGCTTTGCAAGCTAATCGTTCCAAAGGATTTTTACTTTGTTACAAACAAATTACATTTCGATATTTAAAAACATATGAACAAACCACGCGTTTTCTTCGAGATTGTTTTCATTGCGGTCATTGGACGTGGTATTCAACGTTACTTCACATCCACACACTAGTATTCTTCTTTATTTGATTTGTTTTAACAGATGAACATAACAAAAGATCTGTTAAGATACGAAAGTGATCAACCTAAGTTTTTCTTTTATTCTCTATTCATGCGATATGCTAACAATGCGAACAAAAAACGTCAGATAACTGAGTGTGGATGCGGAGCCGGTATTTCTGTTTCACCCACACTCATACCATCATTTCACTCCGTTTAAGTTGGAAAAAGTCGATTTGTATTCTCTTACTCTTTTAGCATCGTCAAGTAATGACGCACATTTCTTTGGTAAACAGAACAGTTGCCATCATTCGCATAAAAAGGTAAATAAATCAGTTTCGTTCTTTTTTCACATTCATTCATTCATTCATCATGGCAAGAACAAACAGTGAGCAGAATGTCGATATTGACGATCTTATTTGTCCCATTACCATGGAGTTGTTTCGCGATCCGGTAATTGCAAATGATGGACATGTCTATGAACGAGTAGCAATTACAAAATGGATTAATGAACATGGTACTAGTCCATTTACTAGGCAGCCATTGCAAGTGAGTGAATTACAACCAGATGATTACTTGAGACAATTGGCAGCGCGT